ATCGGACTTAGAAATTTTTTCATTGGAAACTTATGTGAATGGGAATTTATTTCGCGCATTAGGAGACTCGGTTAATCCAGGCAATACAGTGTATCACTCTCCCCCCCCAGGCCTCTTTCACGTTAAAAGAGACTACTTTTTAAAATTCTGAACGAAACGTGTGTTTCGTTTCAATCGTCCTTTTTGTTCGAATAGTTTATGTTGGACGAATCGTGCATTTTGGTCTTATCGTGCTTTTCAGACCATCCGTAAATTTTGGTCTTTTCGTGCAAGCCGACCGGGGTGCTCCCCTATATATACCGATTATGCGGCCGAGTGGTCGGCGACGCCCGGCGAAATACACGGCGTCTTATGGGAACAAACTTGCAATTGAATCGTCCAATCGGTTTTTGTCGAGAAACACATTCAATCGACCATCTATAATATACTGGACGATATTTTGCCCATTTTTCGCCATTATATGATCTAATTTTTTAAAATTTTTGTTATATGTAATTTTGCATTGGAAACTTATGTGAATGGAAATTTATTTCGCGCATTAGGAGACTCGGTTAATCCAGGCAATACAGTGTATCACTCTCCCCCCCAGGCCTCTTTCACGTTAAAAGAGACTACTTTTTAAAATTCTGAACGAAACGTGTGTTTCGTTTCAATCGTCCTTTTTGTTCGAATAGTTTATGTTGGACGAATCGTGCATTTTGGTCTTATCGAGCTTTTCAGACCATCCGTAGATTTTGGTCTTTTCGTGCAAGCCGACCGGGGTGCTCCCCTATATATACCGATTATGCGGCCGAGTGGTCGGCGACGCCCGGCGAAATACACGGCGCCTTATGGGAACAAACATGCAATTGAATCGCCCAAACTCTTTCCGTCCAGAAACACATTCTATCGAACTTTTATACTATTCTGGACGTCTGTTTACCCTTTTTATATTATCCATGAATAAATTTGGTACTATAATGTCGTTTTCATCGAAGAATTGTTAATAACAATAGTTTTTGTTCATTAATACATTTTTTACAATAAACGCGTATTGTGTCGACGTAGGAACGTTAGATAAAGCGTATCCATCGATTTGTTTCGAAAAATTTACAAAACTCCACTCTTTATCAATTTGTTAATTAAGGGGAAAAACGAGAACTTCGTTATACATCGCAATATTGTTCCTTCGTTTAATATTATCGATAGTAAGGTCGAAATTATCGTTTTCATCGATAATTCGTTAATAACAATTGTTTTGCAAAATAATAAATTTTTAACAATAAACGCGTATTGTATCGACGAAGAAACGTTAAATAAAGCGTATACATCGATTTTTTTTGAAATATTTACAAAACTCCACTTTTTATCCATTTGTTAATTAAGGCGTAAAATGAGAACTTCGTTATACTTCGCAATATCGTTCTTTCGATTAATATTATCGATAATATGGTCGAAATTATCGTTTTCATCGATAATTCGTTAATAACAATTGTTTTGCAAAATAATAAATTTTTAACAATAAACGCGTATTGTATCGACGAAGAAACGTTAAATAAAGCGTATACATCGATTTTTTTTGAAATATTTACAAAACTCCACTTTTTATCCATTTGTTAATTAAGGCGTAAAATGAGAACTTCGTTATACTTCGCAATATCGTTCTTTCGATAAATATTATCGATAATATGGTCGAAATTATCGTTTTCATCGATAATTCGTTAATAACAATTGTTTTGCAAAATAATAAATTTTTAACAATAAACGCGTATTGTATCGACGAAGAAACGTTAAATAAAGCGTATACATCGATTTTTTTCGAAATATTTACAAAACTCCACTTTTTATCCATTTGTTAATTAAGGCGTAATATGAGAACTTCGTTATACATCGCAATATCGTTCTTTCGATTAATATTATCGATAATATGGTCGAAATTATCGTTTTCATCGATAATTCGTTAATAACAATTGTTTTGCAAAATAATAAATTTTTAACAATAAACGCGTATTGTATCGACGAAGAAACGTTAAATAAAGCGTATACATCGATTTTTTTCGAAATATTTACAAAACTCCACTTTTTATCCATTTGTTAATTAAGACGTAATATGAGAACTTCGTTATACATCGCAATATCGTTCTTTCGATTAATATTATCGATAATATGGTCGAAATTATCGTTTTCATCGATAATTCGTTAATAACAATTGTTTTGCAAAATAATAAATTTTTAACAATAAACGCGTATTGTATCGACGAAGAAACGTTAAATAAAGCGTATACATCGATTTTTTTCGAAATATTTACAAAACTCCACTTTTTATCCATTTGTTAATTAAGGCGTAAAATGAGAACTTCGTTATACATCGCAATATCGTTCTTTCGATAAATATTATCGATAATATGGTCGAAATTATCGTTTTCATCGATAATTCGTTAATAACAATTGTTTTGCAAAATAATAAATTTTTAACAATAAACGCGTATTGTATCGACGAAGGAACGTTAAATAAAGCGTATCCATCGATTTTTTTCGAAAAATTTACAAAACTCCACTTTTTATCCATTTGTTAATTAAGGGGTATAACGAGAACTTCGTTATACATCACTATATCGTTTTTTTATTTGTTATTTTCGATCGGATGAACAAAATTATCGTTTTCGTCGATTAATTGTTAATAACAATTGTTATTGCAAATTAATAAATTTTTAACAACAAAAGCATGTCGTATCGACGAAGGAATGTTAAATAAAGCGTATCCATTGATTTTTTTCGAAAAATCTATAAAACTGCACTTTTTATCCATTTGTTAATTAAGGATGTTAAAAATAAAAATTTTATAACATAGGAATACTTAATTAGATACGTATTAATATTTTGGTTTATTAAAAAATATCGATCTTATAGACAAATTTTCTTTTTCTCAATAATATATTTTTAATTTGCAATATTATTTATAATAATAATTTTTTTTTATGTGTCTTTTGTCAATAATAATGTGTTTAAACGTGAAGAATCGATTAGTAATGTATAGGAGCTCAATAAACAAAGTTTTTTTAAATTGGTCTTTTCGTTTGACCCTTTTTTCCCATAAGACTCCATGTATTTCACCGTGTGTCGCCGACCACTCGGCCGCATAATCGGTATATATAAGGGAACGTATGTTTCGGCTTGCACGAAAAGACCAAAATTGGCGAATCGTTCTAAATGCTCGATTCGACCAAAATGCACGATTCGCCCAACGTGCCATGATTATTTCGAAACGCATGATTCGCCCAAAATACACGTTTCGACCAAAATGTACGATTCGACCAAAATGTACGATTCGACCAAAATGCACGATTCGACCAAAATGTACGATTCGACCAAATTGCACGATTCGTACAAAATGTTCGATTCGTACTAAATGTACGATTCGTACAAAATGTACGATTCGACCAAAATGTACGATTCGACCAAAATGCACGATTCGACCAAAATGCACGATTCGACCAAAATGCTCGATTCGTACAAAATGTACGATTCGACCAAAATGCACGATTCGACCAAAATGTACGATTCGTACAAAATGTTCTATTCGACCAAAAAGCATGATTCGCCCAAATTGCACGATTCGACCAAAATGCTCGATTCGACCAAAAAGCACGATTCGTACAAAATGTACGATTCGAGCGTAAGTTTCGAAAATGTTATACGATTGAACGAACGATTGATTCTACCGTCGTTAAGAGTACATTATTTCTAAGTACTTAAAAGGACGGGGAGGAATTATTCGAAAGTCTTATAACGAATATGAAACTTATACGAATGGGACTCGTATATTAAGATAGAGTTATGAAATGGCTTCTCTTATATTGTAAACCTATACGAATGGAAGAAATAGAGTAAAATTGAAAGTCTCACCGAGCTGGGGCGGTGAAACTTCTCTTCCAATGACAAAGTTTTTAATGGAAACTTATACGAGTACCATTAACACGACGCTCCTTAGTCTATGTTTTTTAGCGGGAATCGATTGGTCGATTCGTTCGGCAGTTTTTTCCCATAAGACGCCGTGTATTTCGTCCAGCGTCGCCGACCACTCGGCCGCATAATCGGTATATATAAGGGAGCATATATGTCGGCTTGCACGAAACGCCCAAAATCGGCGAATCGTTCTAAATGTTCGATTCGACCAAAATGCATGATTCGCCCAAAATGCACGATTCGTACAAAATGTTCGATTCGACCAAAAAGCATGATTCGCCCAAAATGCACGATTCGTATAAAATGTTTGATTCGATCAAAATGCACGATTCGTACAAAATGTGCGATTCGAGCGTAAGTTTCGAAAATGTTATACGACTGAACGAACGATTGGATTCTCCCGTCGTCGTTACTAGTATTATATATTCTCTAAGTACTAAGAGGACGGAAGAGAATAATTGAGAAGTATTATGCCAAATATGAAACTTATACGAAACGATTTTTCATATTGTAAACTTATACGAAAGAGAGTCGTCGTCTCGTATAATTAGAGAGAAGGAGAATTTTACGAAACGGTTTCTTATTGTAAACTTATACGAAAGAGGAGAGACAGGAGTTTGTCTCGTATAATATTATTAGAGAAGAGAGAATTTACGAAACGGTTTCTTATTGTAAACTTATACGAAAGGTCGTCGTCTCGTATATTATTAAAGAGAAAAGAGAGAGATCCATTCATCCTCTCTTATTGTAAACTTATACGAATGGGGGAGCATTAGTCGAATTGTGGCGGTGAATCGTACAAGAGACACGAAGTTCTCTATCTTGTCTCTTGGTGTTTTTTTTTTTATTTTGCAATATTTAATAACCGTCGCCGTTCACTCGGCAGAGCCGAACGGGAATACTTTTTTTAAATTTATAATTGGAAACTAATGCGTTCGATGCTCCAGAGACTAAGTTTTTTGGCGGGAACCGGTTGGACTTTTTATCGACCAGTCCGTTCCCATAAGACTCCATGTATTTCACCGTGTGTCGCCGACCACTCGGCCGCATAATCG